AGGACTCGGCCCTGTTGCTGGCTTGGGAGGTGAACTGAGGTGCCATGAGCTGGGGAATGCAGCGTCCTCCAAAAGCTGGAAATGGCCTTCAGATGACAGCCACGCCAGCAAGAAAAGGAGACCCTCAGTACAGCAAGGAGGAGTAATTCTGTCAACACCTGAAGGAATAGAAAAGGGCCCTCGAGAGCTTCCCGAAAGGTGGGCAGTGTGCCTACACCTGGATCTCAGCCCAGGGGGACCCGAACCACACTTCTGCCCTCCAGAACCTGACATGATATATACATGCATGGTGTTTAAGCCACTCAGTTTGTGATCCTGTGTGATCATTTTGGCAGCAGAGGAAATCAGTACATGACAGTGCTGGCAAGGATGTGGGAAACAGGCTTCCCCACCTTCCTCTCCTACAGTGGGCATGGAATGGGAGCAGCCTCCCTGGTGGCTGATTACAGTCATTCATGGCCTTGGTGCCAACAGCCCCTCTAGCAGCTTGTGTGTTAGCCTAGAATCACCTCTAGTAAAGGTGGAGGTTGCAGCCTTGTTTGTAACAGTAAGTGGAAAAGGAGGGACACAGCACTGCTCAAGTGGGGCCTCCCTCCCCCCACCCCAGCTGGAAGGAAGAGCAAAGGGAGGAGGTCTGTGATGTTGGATGTTTCTGATGTTAGTGAGAAAAAGGAAGGCATAGAATCATGTTTTGCTTTTTTTTTTTTTAATTCATGATAAGTATATACACAAGCTTTTATATGCAAGGAGTATTTTTGGAAAAGATACAGGGAAACACTTGCAGTGGCTGGGTGGGAGATAGATGTACCTTTCCTTGTGCCCTTTTGCGTGCCTGCAGAACTCAGTTCTAGTGTGTGTGGGTGTGTGATGTGCTCACTGTGTGATCTTGGGGGGTGAGGGGGCCTTCCTCAGGACGCGGGCTCCCCTGTCTTGCCAGCCCACTGAAACCTGCATCTGCTGGGGGTTGTTGAGCTGCAAGAGCTCTTTATCTCTTCTGGAGCCGAGCCCTTCACTGGGCATGCTTTGTCAGCACGTGCTCCGGGCTGAGGTTTGCTTCTTGTAGTAAGCAGAAGTTCTTAATCTTCATGAAGCCTAGTTTGTCAGTTATTTTTTCTTGGGTGGTTACTGCTTTGGGGGTCCTGAGAAATCTTTGTCTACCCCAGGGTTGCAGAGATATTCTCCTGTGTCTTCTAAAAGACTTTGAATTTTTGCTTTCATATTTAGGCCTGTGATTGATTTTAGGAATGAGTATATATATATATATATTTTTTTTTTTTTTTTTTTTTTTTAAAGTAAGCTCTATGCCCAACGTGGGGCTCAAGCTCATGACCCCGAGACTGAGAGTCACATGCTCTACTGACTGAGCCAGCCACAGGCCAAGTCTGACTGATTTTAAATTAATTTTTGAGTATGCTCTGATGTTTGGTGTAAATGGAATCATGCAGTCTGTGTTCTCTGTGACTCCACTCCCTGTGGTCTGAGCTTCTTCACTTCCTGTGGTCTGAGCTGCTACTTGTTGGGTGCACTGAGGCTACAGTTGGCTCATTTCTGTTACTCCTGAGTTTTCATTCTGCTCCTTTGACTCTTGGAAGACACTGGTGTCCCTGTAACATTGGATTACATGACCTGCACCTTTGTGTGGCGTCTCCTTTCTGTAAAATGTGATAATAGCACCTTCCCCATGGGGTCGTTGTGATTGCACAGAGTAGTGCCGCATGGAAACACATGGATGAGAGCAGGGCCTGGCTCACAGTGAGCAGCAGACAAGGGATGGAGTGGCTTGGTCAGCAGGTGTGCACACGTGAGTCTGCCAAACAAAGGCCGTCGCTTCTGAGACTGGGCTGGGCCCAGAACTCCCTGGTACTGTCAGATGCCAGTTCCGCTGGTTGGTGGGCATGTCTGCGGGGTAGCCTCTCCTGGCTTCCGTCTGCATTCTCTGATGCCTGCGAGAGCTGAGCACAGGTGCTGCATCTCCTCTTTCACCCGCTGCCTCCTCTTGTCTGCTGGCCCAGGGTTTCTGTGTTCCAGACACACGGATCCTTGGGGCCTTGTGGCATCTCTCTTTTCCCACTTTGTCACTTTTTGGTGTCTTGGGATGAACTCTAAAGGTCTTGTTAATGTAGCTAAATCAACTGGATTACTGTGTGCAGGCATTCCTCGGAGATAATGCGGGTTGGGTTCCAGACCACCAAGAGACTATCACAATACACTGAGGCAAATGAAGTTGTTGGTTTCCCAGTGCATGTAAGAGTGGTGTTTACACTATACTGTAGTCTGTTAAGTGTACAATAGTATTATGTCTAAAAAACAATGTATATACCTTAATTAAAAATACTTTATTATTGGGGCGCCTGGGTGATGATGTAGTTAACGTCCGACTCTTGATTTCAGGCCAAGTCATGCTGTCAGGATTGTGAGATCGAGTCCCGCGTTGGGCTCCACACTGGGCGTGGAGCCTGCTCAAGATCTTGTCTCTCCCTCCCCCTCCCCTGCTCTGTAAAACAAACAAACAACAACAACAACAACCCAAAGATTTCATTACTAAAAAAATGCTAACCATTATCTCATTTTTCAGCAAATCATAATCTTTTGCTGATGGAACGTCCTGCCTCCATGGTGCTGGCTGCTGACCGATCAGGGTGGTGGCCGCTGACGGCTGGGGTGGCTGTGGCAGTTTCTTAAGACAACAGTGAAGTTTGCTGTATCGATTGGCTGTTCCTTTCATGGACAGTTTCTCTGTATGTAGCACACAATGCTGTTTGATAGCATTTGACACACAGTAGGAGTTCTTTCAGAATTGGAATCAGTCCTTTCAAATGCTGCCACTGCTTTGTCAGTTCATTTTCTGTAATATTCTAAACATTTGTGGTTATTTCAACAATCTTCAGAGCATCTTCACCAGGAGTAGGTTCCAGCTCTCTTGCAGTTTCCATCACACCTGTGGTTACTTCCTCCACAGAAGTCTTAAACCCTCAAAGTCATCCATGAGGGTTGGACTCCACTTCTTCCAAACTCCTGTTCATTTTGGTATTTTGACCTCTTCCCCTGAGTCACAGATGTTCTTAATGGCGTCTAGAATGGTAAACTCTTTCCAGAAGGTTTTCAATTTACTTTGCTCAGATGTATCAGGAATCACTGTCTATGACAGCTGTAGCCTTACAAAATGTACTTCTTAAAGAATAGGACTTGGAAGTTGGTCCATGGGCTGCAGAATGGATGTGGTGTCAGCAGGCATGCAAACAACAGTCATCTCACTGCACGTCGCCATCAGAGCTCTTGGGTAACCATGTGCATTGTCAACGAGCAGTAAGACTTTGAAAGGAATCTTTTTTCCTGAGCAGTAAGTCTCAACAGTAGGCTTAAAATAGTCTGTAAACCATGTTGCAAACTGATGTGCTGTCATCAGGCTTTGTTGTTCCATTTCTAGAGCACAGGCAGAGTCGATTTAGCATAATTCTTAAGGGCCCTAGGATTTTCCATATGGTAAATGAGCATCGGCTTCAACTTAGTCACCAGCTGCATTTAGCCCCCAACAAGAGTCAGCCAGTCCTTTGAAGCTTTGAAGCCAGGCATTGACTTCTCTCTATGAAAGTCCTGGATGGCATCTTTTTCCAGTAGAAGGCTCTTTGGTCTACATTGAAAATCTGTTGTGTAGCCATCTTCATGAATTATCTCAGCTGCATCTTCTGGATCCCTTGTTGTGGCTTCTACATCAGCACCTGCTGCTTCACCTTGCACTTTTATGTTATGAAGTTGGCTTCTTTCCTTAAACCTCATGAGCCAACCTCTTCCGGCTTCAGACTTTCCTTCTGCAGCTTCCCCACTTCTCTGAGCCTTCACAGAAGTGAAGAGAGTTAGGGCCTTGCTCTGGACTAGGCTTTGGCTTAAAGGAATATGGTGGTTTAATCTATCCAGACCACTCAGACTTAGTCCACGTCAGCAATAAGGCGGGTTCGCTTTCTTATCACCTGTGTTTGTTCACTGGACTAGCACTCTAATTTCCTTCAAGAACTTTCTTTGCCTTCACAGCTTGGCTAAGTGTTTGGCCCAAGAGGCATAGCTTTCATTCTATCTTGGTTTTGGGCATGCCTTCCTAAGTGTAAATCATTTCTAGCTTTTGATATAAAGTGAGAGTACTCGCTTCGGCAGCACATATACTAAAATTGATATAAAGTGAGAGGTGTGTGACTCTTCCTTTTACTTGAACACGTAGAGGCCATTGTCGGGTTCTCATTTGGCCTGATTTCAACACTGTTGTGTCTCAGGGAACAGGGAGGCCCAAGGAGAGGAGAGAGACAGGGGAATGGCTGGGCAGTGGACACACACAGTATCAGTGAAGTTTGCCGTCTTATATGGGTGCGGTTTGTGGCACCCCAAAGCAGTCATGTGGTAACATCGAGAATCACTAATCACAGCTCACCATAACAAATAATTAAAAAATCTGAAATATTATGAGAATTACCAAAATGTGACACAGAGGCAGACACAAGGTGAGCAAATGCTGTTGGAAAATGGCACCAGTAGACTTGCTTAGTGCAGGGCTGCCACAGTTCAATTCGTAAAAAACAGTATCTGTGACGTGTGGTAAAGCTAAGAACACAAAAGGGAGGTATGCCTTTATTGATCTTAAGCTCAGTGTGTTTTATTTGATAAATCCTTCAGCACCCTGCCCCCCATGAGATGGTAGAGTAGAATACCTCCCCCGGATCAGGAGCAGATCTTATTTCATGAACGTCATGGGTTTTAGCCACGTGACAGCCACTTGGGTAGGTGGGCATGGCCATGGATGGGCTCGTGGTCAACTGCACCCCATGCACCAGAGGAGGCAGACAGGAGGGTGAGCACTGGGTACCTTGCTGGCCTCAGGAGCAGGTAGGAGATGGCATGGGGTGAGAACTTTGATGTCACCGACTCCACTGGCTCTCTTGGGAGGGAGAGGCCCAGAGTGGGCTGGAACAGGGAGAAGGGCAGAGGTCTGACAAGTGGCTCTTGTTTTGCAGATCCGGAACATGGTGGCGGTGCTGGAAGTCATCTCCAGCCTGGAGAAATACCCCATTACCAAAGAGGCACTGGAGGTGAGTGTCCCCAGGACCCAACGTTGGGAAGAGCAGGGTGGGCAGGGCCTTGGCTTCCCCAACCCGAGTCCTTCCTGGCTTCTTGGAGCCTTTGCTCTCACTGGCCAGGTGAGGACTTAGTAGTGCTGAGTGAGGGGTGTACATACCCTCCTGGCCTAGGCTGTGCCAAAAGCAACATCTTCCTATGGTCACTGCAGGAATTGGGTAGCTCTAGTCCCAGGGCTGGGATGCCTGCCTGGGGGGAGGAGGGGGAGAGGCTCCAGTGAGAGGGATGCGGGCTCAGGTCTTCCATTTGCTGTGCCTTTGCCATAGTGTGCTTTCACCCAAAGAGCTTCCCTGACACAGTGTCTCTGCACTGGCCTTGATGGTCCACAGCCTCTAGGTGCCAGGAGCCCGCGGGATGGTGCTTCTGAAGATGCCGCCCCTGGCCCCGGGACCCTGAAGTTTGAGGACTAGATTTGAGAAGTTAGATGTCACAAAGGACCCCAAATCCCCATGGGTTTTGTTACCCAGGAACTCTGTGGTTTAAGGGGCAGTGGGATTAATCCAAAGACCAGGGGGCTCTCAGCTCCATTTTCATGGGGGACTTGCTGTCCCAAAGGCATGTCATCATCTCTCTCTGGTTGTAGGAAACTCGACTTGGGAAGCTCATCAACGACGTCCGCAAGAAAACAAAGAACGAGGAGCTCGCCAAGCGGGCCAAGAAGCTGCTGCGGAGCTGGCAGAAGCTCATCGAGCCCGTGCACCAGAATGAGGCGGCGCTGCGAGGGCTGGCGGGCAGCACCGGCTCTGCCAACGGGGGTGCTCACAACTGCCGGCCGGACGGGGGGGCGGCCGGCGCGCCCAAGAGCATCCATGAGCTGAAGAACCGCAATGACATCCAGAGGCTGCCTGGACAGCGGCTGGACAGGCTGGGTAGCCGCAAGCGCCGGGGAGATCAGCGTGACCTCGGCCACCCTGGGCCACCTCCCAAGGTCTCCAAAGCCAGCCACGACTCCCTGGTACCCAACTCATCCCCTCTCCCCACCAACGGCATCGGCGGGAGCCCCGAGAGCTTCCCTGGTGCCCTGGACGGCAGCGGGCACGCGGGCCCCGAGGGCAGCCGCCTGGAGCACGGCGAGAGCGACAAGCACGGCGGCAAGATTCCTGTGAACGCCGTGCGGCCGCACACCAGCTCCCCGGGCCTGGGCAAGCCCCCGGGCCCCTGCTTGCAGACCAAGGCTGCGGTGCTGCAGCAGCTGGACCGGGTGGGTGAGACTCCGGGGCCCCCCCACCCCAAGGGGCCGCCTCGCTGCTCTTTCAGTCCCCGGAACTCACGGCACGAGGGCTCCTTTGCCCGGCAGCGGAGCCCGTACACACCCAAGGGCTCCGTGCCCAGCCCCTCTCCACGGCCCCAGGCGCTCGATGCCACACAGGTGCCATCGCCGCTTCCGCTGGCCCAGCCGTCCACACCACCCGTGAGGCGGCTCGAGCTGCTGCCCAGTGCCGAGAGCCCGGTGCGCTGGCTGGAGCAGCCTGAGGGCCACCAGCGGCTGGCGGGGCAGGGCTGCAAGGGGGGGCTGCCCCCGGCCGAGCCCCTCCTTCCCCGGGCGGGCTTTTCCCCGGACTCCTCCAAGGCGGACAGCGACGCTGCCTCGTCTGGTGGCTCGGACAGCAAAAAGAAGAAGAGGTACCGGCCTCGTGACTACACGGTGAACTTGGATGGGCAGGTGGCGGAGGCGGGTGTCAAGCCCGTCCGGTTAAAAGAGCGGAAGCTCACTTTTGACCCCATGACCAGACAGATCAAACCTCTGACCCAGAAAGAGCCAGTGCGGGCTGACAGCCCCGTGCACACAGAGCAGCCCAGGACAGAGCTGGACAAGCCCGAGGCCAAGGCCAGCGTCCAGAGCCCTTTTGAACAGACGAACTGGAAGGAGCTGTCGCGCAACGAGATCATCCAGTCCTACCTGAGCCGGCAGAGCAGCCTGCTCTCGTCGTCAGGCGCACAGACCCCAGGGGCTCACCACTTCATGTCTGAGTACCTGAAGCAGGAGGAGAGCACCCGGCGCGGGGCCCGGAAGCCACACGTGCTGGTGCCTCACAGCGCGCCCACGGACCTCCCGGGGCTGAACCGCGAGGTCACGCAGGACGATCTGGACAGAATCCAGGCCCACCAGTGGCCAGGGGTGAACGGGTGTCAGGACACACAGGGTAACTGGTATGACTGGACGCAGTGCATATCGCTCGACCCGCACGGGGACGACGGGCGGTTGAACATTCTGCCTTATGTCTGCTTGGACTGAGCAGCCTGTCGGCCTCTAAGTGCATTCCCACCTTGCAGTTAGCGTGGCAGGCGGGCAGCCTCCAGGGGTTGGGAATCCGGGGAGTCCGGCCCAGGGCGGGAGGGAGGGGGCGGGAGTCTCGAGGTCTCTCCGTGCTCTTCCCTCAAAATTCTCCTTCTTTTGTGAAATGCTGCTACCAGTTTACTAACAAAATTGCAAAGGAAGGACCGTGTGGAAGGAAGGCCGGCAAAGTGAGTTCAGAACTCTATAGCAAACCAGCTATAAAAAGCGTTAGTTTCCCACCCCGGAAGAGGTGCGGACATTTCCCAGCCCCCGTGAGCTGGGACCTCAGTGGCAGGCAGGCACAGAAAACCTGGGGGAGAGGTTACCTTTAAACAGCAACAGAAGCACGCAGCTCATCTCTTTGCATTTTCCTTGTTTAAATTTGGCCCTGAGTGTCTGAGGCAGGGGGTGTGCCTACACCGCGGCCTGTTTGCACCCCAGCCGGCAGCCAGTATGACCTACGCTCCGTGGGCGTCCACACATTCTCATCTGGTTTCGGTTAAAACCCAGTTTTGAAAAAAATGCTGCAAAAATCTAAGTTTTCTAGTTTATCTCCCTCTTCCATCTGACCACCAGCCAAATAATTTTCCTTTCTCCCTTTTCAAAGTGTCCCCCCCTTGCCCTTCCTGCGCATATCTTGAAAATTTCACCTTTCTAGAGTCCCCTCCCAAAAAACCACAAAAGTAACCGCGGGTGCTACTGGTGTGTAAGCTGTACTGTTGGGCAAGAGGAGACCTGTCTGTACGCTGGAAACACTCATAACCATTCCTTTAGATTCGTTTGCCTTATGGTTATTTGTCATAAACGCGATTTGCAAAAACAAGGAGCCTTAGTGAATGTACAGTACCTAGACTTCTGTGTTCTCAAGACGCAGAAGGGAGCAACTTTGCTATTTGGTCCAGTAAGTGGACACCTTGTGATATAAATGTGGAAATAAAAAAAAAAAAAACCATTTGCACAAACCAGTCTCAGAATCGTTACTAATTTGGTCCCTTACAGTCATATCAGCCTTTTTCGTGTCTGAGGTTTGGGCTCCATTGCCAGACTGCAGGGAGGTGGGCAGGGCAAAGTGGCCAAGGCAGCCTATTAGTGTTCTGCATGAAAACTGACCCCCACCTGCCTTTCACTCATTCAGGGCCATGTTGCCTGTTCCACCTCCGGGGTCTCTTACTAGCTTTGGGTGAGAGACTGAAGGTCCACATGAAGAAACGTTACCCCATCTGCCCCAGAGAAAGAAGCCCTCCAAAGGGGTTCCATGTCCCAGGTCTTGGTAACCTTGTTTTACCCCACAAAGTATCTAGCTTTTACAGGGCATGGCCCAGAGCCACGTCTGGCAGTGCACCCCTTGGCTCTGCCAGGCTGCTAGCTCCCCATGCAGGCCTGGGGCTGTCTCAGTATCTGGCAGGTGCTATTTTTAAAAAAATAACTTTCTGCCTTGACTATAAAAGTGATAATACTTCCTTCTCCCTCATCCCTGAAACTGTCAGCTAAGACTATGGTTTTCAAAATTTTTCAGTACAGAATAGGTCATGTTGGATGTACCTACTTCATTTCACAGATGAGGAAGCAGCTACCCCTTAAGAGGGGTCTCAGGACACCTGAGTGGCTCAGTCGGTTAAGCGTCTGCCTTCAGCTCAGGTCATCATCCCAGGGTCCTGGGATCAAGCCCCGCATCTTTTTCTCCCTCTGCCTGGCACACCCTCTGCTTGTGTGCTCTCACACTCGCTCGCTCTCTGACAAATATAATCTTAAAAAAAAAAAAAGAGGGACAGTCCCATAGGGCGAGCCAGGGGGTCCAGAACCATTGAGTCAGCCCAGAACCACAATTTCAGAAGCAGCAGGGATTTCTGATACGGTGTTCGTGCAAGACACACCCACCCTAAGATAAGGGCAGTGGATGAAGTGGCTTTGAGGACAGGCTGAGGTCTGACTCTGGACCTGCCATCTATGAGCTGTATGGCTCTAAGATAATCACTTCACTCCTATACACATGTCTCTATCTGGGAGATGAGATTGCTTACTCCAGAGCTGTGAGGATAAGTTAAACAGAGTTTAAGCCAAAAAAAGGGGGGGAGTATGTCAGTAGAACCCTTTGTGCTATGGAGTAACTAATTACTTTTCTAAATCCACTGTGCCTGTATTGTGGGCCAGCCCTGCTGCTGTGTGGGTGTCCCCAGGAAGTGACTTATTCTGTGACAAGGGGTCGTAAGCACAGCTGAAAGATACTAGGGTACAGGTTGGCATCTTTTTTTTTTTTTAAGATTTTATTTATTTATTTGACAGAGACAGCGAGAGAGGGAACACAGGCAGGGGGAGTGGGAGAGGGAGAAGCAGGCTTCCCACGGAGCAGAGAGCCCGATGCGGGGCTCGATCCCAGGACACCGGGATCATGACCTGAGCTGAAGGCAGACGCTTAACGACTGAGACACCCAGGCGCCCCAAGGTTGGCATCTTATGAGCATCTCCTTTTCTCACACCTGGGCTTTAGGACAGGTCCCTGCTCCCTGCCCCCACCTGCAGGACCACTTCTGTGTCTAAGTATCCAGTAAGCCCCAGCGTAAAGATACTGCCTGCTTTTGAGAACGCAAAATTAAGCTAAGATTTCCCTCCCACATTTTGGAAATCAATGGGTTGCCACTTTCTAATATGCCAAGTAAAGACATTGTAAAAGTGCATCTTAACCGCCCCCCCCGCCCCAAAAAAGTTGTCAGTACATGATTTTTGGAACAAATCAAAGTCCACTATAGTATAAAACCATCTTGCTGAAAACACCATCTTGTCTTCCTCCGCTGGGGTCTGGGGCTGCTCTCTCCTGGCCTTGGGCATCAGCAGTCAGGGCCCGGCAACCTCTCCCGCCTGCAAGAGCCCTGGAGACAGGTGCGGGAGTAGGCTACCATGGCCACGGCTCCCGAATTGACCAGGGGACCTAAGCCAAGTCGCCTCCCTTCTCTAGGCTTCGGTCTGTCGGTCTGTGAAATGGAGATGATCATACACCTACCGCACAGCACACGTCGCAGTGGTTCCCAGAACGAGCGCCCAGAGACCGGGCGCTCCGGGCTAGCCCTTCTGTTGGAGTCCGGCCATGGAAGTCCCTCCCGTGTTTTTGCAGAAAAAATTTAGCCTATGAAAAGCTTTTCACAATTTGGTTTCTTTCCGGAAAGGTCTGGTCTTTTATCCTTGGTGTCCGCCGTTGCCCGCCCATCAGGAGTATGGTTGGAGGGCGCCGATGTAGCGTGGGAATCGAGGTCTGACTCCCGAGCTCGATGGCCAGCTCACAGACGCCGACGAGGCAGGCAGGGCCTTTGCACTTCTGCCCACTCAGCTCGAGCCGCGGCTCCACTCACCGCCGGGGAAACCCCGCTAGGCAGGGCCCCGCTTCCCCACCTTCCGCTTCCGCCATAGGCACCGCCCCGGTCGGAAGGCCACCAGAGGGGTGGGGCCTGCGCCCGCTACGTGGTGGCGGGCGCGTCGGCCGGCGCGAGGCGGTGACGCGAGGCAGTACCGACCAATGGGGAGCGGCGTTGGCCGGCGCGCCCGCCCCTACCCGGCCCCGCCCCCGCCCGGCGTCGGGCCGTCGGACGGGCGGGAAGAGGTGGCCGCTCGGGCAGGATGGCGGCTGCGGCTGCGGTGGGCGCGGGCGCGGGGGGCCCGGGAGCGGCGGGCGGCGGGGGGGCGCGCGAGGGCGCGCGGGTGGCGGCGCTGTGCCTGCTGTGGTACGCGCTGAGCGCGGGTGGTAACGTGGTCAACAAGGTGATCCTGAGCGCCTTCCCGTTCCCCGTGACCGTGTCGCTGTGCCACATCCTGGCGCTGTGCGCGGGGCTCCCGCCGCTGCTGCGCGCCTGGCGCGTGCCCCCCGCGCCCCCCGTCTCGGGCCCTGGGCCCGGGCCGCATCCGTCTCCCGGCCCGCTGCTGCCGCCGCGCTTCTACCCGCGCTACGTGCTGCCACTCGCCTTCGGCAAGTACTTCGCGTCCGTGTCAGCGCACGTCAGCATCTGGAAGGTGCCAGTGTCTTACGCGCACACCGGTGGGTGCCGCGGCCGGCCTGGGGGGCGGCGGCCCGGACGCGCCACCCGGGGTTTCGGCGCTTGAATAGGAGTACGCTGGCCGGGTTGCGGCCCGACGGCCTGAGAAGTCAACTTCTGTCAGGAAGGCGCTGGGGGGCCAACAAGGCTTTTAGCGGCCGGGGAGGGGGGGACGACGACTCGCACTAGGGTTTTGGGGAGGGAAGTGGCTGAAAAGAGAGCTGGGAGCTGAGCAGGGCGAATCACAACTGTTGGGTTGGGGGGAAGCCCCACAGAAGGGCTGAGGAGGATGGAAGGGCTGCCAAGCCCTCCCATCGCACTAGTGGAGTTGGGACAGGGTCCCAGGGTGGGTTCGGGGACTGGGGCGGCTCCCTGAGAGCCCCTTGCCTCTCTTTGCAGTCAAGGCCACCATGCCCATCTGGGTGGTTCTCCTGTCCCGGATCATCATGAAGGAGAAGCAGAGCACCAAGGTAACCCAGGAGGGTTCTGGGCAGGTGGGGGCCCCAAGAGCTTCCTGGCAGGTGCCCAGCTGGTGACGCGGTCCAGGCTTCTGGCTTCCTCTCAAATCAGGAAGTCAGCTTAGAGGCTTCTGGTGGCCTTTTGCTGCTAATGTTCTGTAATCGCTTTGAAGGCATTGGTGTGTGACCCTGAGTTGCTTCTGGTCTGTGGTCTCGGGGATGCTCCTGTCCCTCTCAGGTCCAGCTTTCCTTCATGTTTTGATTCCCTACGTGTGGTTGCTGGTAGGCAATGACTTGGTCCCATCATGGCCAGGAACCATGTGCCCCTCCAGGGGGACTAGGGATAGAACATCTGACGCCTTGCTGGAACTCTGACAAAGTTTCACGTCTTTGCAAGTGACAGCGGTCAGGTTGGGGACTTTTGGGGTCAGAAGTGAGATTGCCAGTCAAAACAGTCTGATTTTGGCAAAATCCAGCTAAGTCTTAGAAATAAAAACCACCAGGAATCGTGTCTGGGAATGGAAGTAAAGGCGACGCGCAAAGCCTAGGACTGCGTAAGGAAGATGCTTTGGGCACAATCCAGAGTCTGTTCACGATGCCAAGCCAGGGTATTTCCTGGCTTGGGGCGAGAGAAGCTGTGGCTTCGGCCAGAGACAGCCTTGCTCCGTATCCTTAAGTGGAAGCGGGACTGCTGTTGTCCCAGCTGGAATCCATTTCATGCTGGACAGAGCACTTCTTTTTTACGTGGTTGGTTTCTGGCATCCTGTATTTTATGTAACCCAGAGTGGTGGTGCCCTGGATCGGCTGATGGAAATTGGGCCACCTCTGGCTGATTTTTTGTTTCAGTCTGTCTTTTTCTCTTCAATACCTGGGTGTGCTCTGTAGCCCACCCGCAGGGTGATGTCAGGTGTGACTTTGTCTCCCTGGGTCGGAGTTGCCCTGGAGGTGTGCAGCTTCATCACTCGATATGACATCGTGTTTATCAGGTTTCCCCGTTGTATAGGACATTGTACCCAGCTTGGGCAAGGAGCTGGCACCTTAGGAGGGCCTGAGGAATGGCCTAAGCAAAGACTAATGATAAAGACAGAATATGTATGGACACACCCTATGAGACAGATAAGGCAGGTAGGTAATTGTCATTCTTGATCTCAGCCGAAGAAATGGGACGTAAAGGGGTAAGTCAAGTGCCTGAGGCCCACAGCCAGTAGTGGGGGAGCTAGAGTCGAGCCCCACCCCCCTCCAGTCCAGAGCCCTTGCTCTTTCCTCCAGGGTTGGACGAGAAGCCTTGCCAACCCCTCCTAAAATTTCTGCAATGCTTTAAAGTGTCCTTTGTAGGAGGAGGGTGAGCTGGGAGTCAGAAAAGCTAGATGTCAAAAATGGATCCTATTTCTCTGGAAGTTTGGAGCCATTTAGCCACCCAAGCTCAGGAACCATTGCATACACTAGGCCTTGGAAAGCTTGGACCTTCTAGAAAGCCTCTTGTCACAGCACTCACTCTTCCTTCAGCCAGGGCACCACCACAGGACAGAGCAGTGAACGAGGACCTGCCCTAAAAGAGCACAGGGACGCAGACGGGCCCTTTAAGTGGGTGGAGAACACCGCCCCAGAACACACAGCACAGGGACCTGACGGGGTCTTGCGGGGGGAGGTGAAAGTTCTCGTGGTCTGTGAACTGAGACCTGAGGGGGGAAGGAGGTCTCTAGCCAGAAAAGGCATACAGGGAGTGTCCCAGCCAAGGGTAACTGCCTGTTGGAAGAGACCAGCCCTGGCCAGCCTCTCGGACGATCGGGGTTTTAGACTTTGGTGTGTTGGTGGCAGCAGCTGGATAGAGCTGTTCGGGCCAGCCCCCGTTTGTGGCCCTGAGCAGGGGCTCTTAGTGGAAGTGACAGTGAAGGGAGTGGGGCTGCGCACAATGACACAGCCCTACCCCCAGGGACTCTGCCCCATCTGCCCCACCCTCTGCGCCCCTCCAGCGTCACTGCCACGCTAACACTGTTGACCAGGGGGTAGTTTGGCTCCCTTTGCTGAGGAGGGGGGGAGCAGCTGAGGCTTTCCTCCAGGCATCTGTGTCGGGCAGCCTGGCTCAACTCCAGCCATCAGCCTCTCCTGCCCTCCTCCCCCAGGTGTACCTGTCACTCATCCCCATCATCAGCGGCGTCCTGCTGGCCACCGTCACCGAGCTGTCCTTCGACATGTGGGGGCTCATCAGTGCCCTCGCTGCCACACTGTGCTTCTCGCTTCAGAATATTTTCTCCAAAAAGGTATTTGGGCACCATCTGGGAAATGTCTGATTCGGGGGTGTCACGGATGAGAGAGTGGTCAATAGGGATTTCTGTGGTGTTGGAACGAGAAAAAAATCCTGGTGCCCTTCTACTGGTTTTGTATTTGTTGTTTCATTTTTTTTTTCAAGTTTGTTTCCTATTATAAAATTAGAATATGCTCAGTATGAAAAAAACAGAGAAAGGGCCCCCTCCCCCCAAAATCAGAAAACTTCCTGAGCACCTACTATGTTGTCAGGCACCATAGTGGGTGCAGGAGATGAGTAATAGTAGAGACCGGCCCCCTGCCCAGGTGTCCCATGCTGAGTAAAGTCACAGTAGTGTCCCCTAAAGAGAACTGCTATTAATGCTAGGAGTCTTTTTTGCACAGTTTCTAGAGTTGTAATATTATACATTTCAAAATTTTGCTTTGTTCATTTACTATTTATAACATTCTCCCATATCTTTAAAAAATACTGCTCTAAATCCTGTAATACACACTCTTTTCTGACACCACAGTCAGTGCAATCAGTTCCCTACTGCAATGCAGACTGTTTCCAATTCTTCATCATACGTAATGCAGTAACGGGGCGGTGGGGGGTGGGGGGCACCTGGGTGGCTCAGTCGGTGAAACATCTGCCTTCGGCTCAGGTCATGATCCCCGAGTCCTGGGATCGAGCCCCACATCCGGGCTCCCTGCTCAGCGGGGAGTCTGCTTCTCTCTCTCTCTCTCTGCCCCTCCCCCTGCTCCTTTTCTCTCTCTCACTCTATTTCTCAAATAAATAAAATCTTTAAAAAAAAAAAATAAGTAATGCAGTAATGAACATCTCTGTGCATAATGTTTTCCTGTCTGTCAAGTTATTTCCTTACATAGGCTTACCATTCTTGGGTCGGAGTGTATGAGATACTTACGGCTCCTGATACACTTGGCCTGGTTGTATTCTCGAACAGCTGTATGCCAATGTAGACGTAAACCAGCGGGATTTCAGAGTGCCTGTTTCACTGCAGCTTCACCAGGACTGAGTGTTGCTGGTTTTTTTCATTTCTCAGTCCTTCATTATTTGGGGCATTTTTGTCTCATTGCAGGTGCACTTGTAGGTTTGGTGGTCAAGATCGGATGTCAGGGCTCATGTAAATCACTGTGTTTGGAACCCGGATAACTAGAGCCCTTCTTGCCACTTAAGAGTTTCAACTGGCCTTTAAGAAGGTTTTTCTCCCTTTAGGTATTGAGAGATTCACGGATCCACCATCTCCGGCTCCTGAACATCTTGGGCTGTCACGCTGTCTTCTTTATGATCCCCACGTGGGTCCTGGTGGACCTTTCAGCTTTCCTGGTCAGCAGCGACCTGGTGAGTTGGCCAGCGCGGTGAACACACCCTTGTCTTGATTAGTTCAGATTAGTTGCTTTGTCGGGGAGTTACACCTGTGTTGACTTTGGGACATCTGGGGCCCCCGGCAGCCAGCCCTCTTAACACTCACTCAGCTTTGTCATGACTCATTTCTCATGTAGTCAAGGAAGTCTGCTTCCTTTGCATTTCCTCCTCCAGCAGGCTAGATCTCAGGTGTCGACAGCTGCTGCTGCTGTGTCAGTGGCATCAGGAAGAAGAAATGCCAGCATGGGTGACTCCTGTCCTGACAGTCTGGTTCAGGTCTCACTTCGACTTGTCCACACTGCGCTTGCGTTGCTGGATCCCTTTCTCGGTGTCCTCTCTGCCCATACTCCCATTACTGTGGAGGGATCCGTAGCTCTCTGAGCATAGGAAAGAGAATCTTCCCACCACCTGCAGGGCCAGCCTCCAGACAATGCACTAGAAACTCACACGCAGGTGACAGTGATGAGGAGAAGGTGTGCGTGGTTTTTCCAAGCCTGAGTTCCAGAGAGGGGAGTAAATGTCTATCAGGGCTTAATGAGGCCTGATGGAGTTCTTGACTTTGGTCTTCAATCCTCAGCACTACCTGTAGGCATAGTGCACATTATCTCCAGGCTCCAGTTGGGGAGACTGGCTCTGTTCTTCCTTCCTTTCCGTATTGATCAGCTGTAAGTTTTCTGCAAAGAACTTTCCAGCATCGACCAGGACTCATTTTTACCTTGAAGTATACGAAAGTTCAGTGCTTCTCTTTTTTTTTTTCAATTACCAATTTTCAGAAAGAAGTTCTAGCTTACTGCAAATGTTAACTAGTGAGTTGTCGGGGTGGGGGGGGTTGGTCTGTGGGGGGGACGGTGAAGGAGGATCCATCTATTTTTTTTTTTCCAATATCATTGTGGACTCCTGTGTCAGTTGCATATCTTACTCTTTTCATAGTCAAATTATCCTGTCCAGGTCAATGGAGTCCTTGCCATTGGCTCCCTGTCTTTTCGACAGCACAGGTCAGCCTTTGGTAGCTTTTGGTCCAGAAGGATGTTCTTTCTTGTCTTGCGCCTCTCCTGTCCCGGACCTGTGGTCATACACTCCTTCAGAAACCTGGGTTGCTTGTAATAGAGAGTGCTGTCCAGCGACACAGCCTGAGCGCCGTGTGTGCTCATCGCTGTGGGGTTGGCCTTGCTTCTGAGTCTCTGCGGTGACAAGCTAGGAGCGTCCTATTGGGGCAGAGGGGAGAGTTCATACCAGTTCATTCCAGTGCCAGTTTAACATTATAGGACTTACAACTGCTGTGATTTTTAAACTTCTGTCTTCTCTGGTACACTTGGTTCCTTGCCACATTTGTTCTTTGTTTATCCTACCCCAACTATTCACGTATGGGATTCTACTGAACACACACGTAATCACTACAGAGTGAGAATCCCCATGGGAGAGCTGCGGGTAGGCTCCTGAGAGAAGTTTAAGGTTTCTTTGCTGCTCTATTTGTCCTTAGGACATGTTCCACTAAAGATGTACAATTGGAATACTGTGTTCTCTCTCTCTCTTTTTTTTTTTAAGTTTTGGAGGAAGACAGAGAGCACGAGCAGGGGGAGGGGCAGAGGGAGACGGAGAATCCCAGGCCGACTCCATGCGGAGCACGGCGGAGCCTGACTCGGGGCTCGGTCCCAGGACCCTGAGATCATGACCCGAGTTGAAATCCAGAGTTGGATGCTTCAATGACTGTGCCACCCAGGCACCCCTGGAATGCTCTGTTCTAAGGGCAACGGAAATAATTTTCCGTTTTCACAAGGTGCCTGTATCACCAACTTGCCCAGTTGGGTTCTTTTCATTCCATTTATTTTCCATTTTTAGGCACTGCTTTTCTTTTCCACACCGAATTTGTCAGACCTTTATATTTCAAAGCCAGATGATATGAGAAAGTTTGTCAAAGCCTGGCTTCAGTCCCTGTCACCTGACCCCTTTCTTGTCCCTCCCCGATAGGTAGTCATTTTTATGCTCTTGGTTTACCCTTTCAGTGTTTCTTTTGGCAAGTGTAAGCAAATCTGTATATATTCCTACCTTTCTGCTCCTTACACAAAAAGTAACTTTTTAGATAGAAAAGAGCACCTTTCTATTTTCCCTCAGACATTTTCTGGGGATCACTCCCTATTAACATATTTATATTTAGGTCTTTCCCATTCTTTTTATTGGCTGCAGAATATTGCTGATAGCTTTGGTGTCAATTCTGTTATTCCATCCTATGTTACAGCTCCTTGGTGTCCATATGAATACATGCACACAAATATGTACCTACAGGTTTTGCTCTGGGCACTTTGTTTTTATTTGTATTTAGGACATTTTTTAGTTTTATTCTAGTGATTACCTTCTTTGGAATACCTTTAGTAACCTGTTTCCTTTCTTGAGGCCATAGATACTTTTTACCTTCATGGGGCCCTTCTACGCCTTAATAGTAGCCGTAGGAGCACGCACTATTTGATGGTGCTGCAGTCTGAAGGCAGGGTGCCCATCTCTCTGGGCGGCTCCTCTCTGCCCCATGTCTCCCACACAGATGCCAGGTGATTTAGCTCTGTCCGAGTCCTGTGCTTTGTAGTGAGTGGTAGGGGGAAGGATCAGATAGGAGAGCATCTCCTAGAGGGTGATGAGCCACATTACCAAGAATCAGAGGCTCCAGTGGGTAGTTCCTGCACACAGACAGCCTCTCTGCTGACGGCCTGGCTGAAGCTGGGCAGGGATTGCTAGACTCTGGAGCAGGTGGCCCGGTTTTAAAGCTTGCGCAGGATGAGTAAAGCAGCTATTTGAGAACTGGAAAGTAAAGGACAGCGGACAGGCTGGGGTTGAAGACAAGATTTCAGAGTAGTGCTGAGTCAGCAGTCAGTTTGCCTCTCTTTTGCCTCCTGTATGTCCAACCTGGACTTGACGCCGCCCAAAATGCAGAAGTGGGCACTGGGTGAGACAGAGCCAGAAGCCCTCTCCTTCTGGATCAGGGAATGGAAAAGGGGATTCCTGACACTCAGAGTAGGGGAAATGCCCTGTTGGGGATTCCTATAATTTTTGTTTCTTGGTTCTCTTGTGTCCCAGGCCCCTGGCAATCCTGTGGTGGTGGTGGCAGCAGGGTCCCACAGCACCTGAGATGCTGAGTGAGGGCAACCTCCCTCTGCAGTCAGAGAGCGGGATTAGTGCCCACTGAGTATTTTTCTCTTTATCCGCCCACTGCTTGGTCCCAAGTGGAGGTGCAGTTGTAGGAAGGACACAGCAGAGTGGGGTAATTAAGCCCCAGCTCTCTTGATTAGAGGACTGAAAAGGAGAACTCCAGGAAATGGCAGGTACCGAGGTACTCATGGAGAGGGAGGAACTTGGGAAAGTGACCTCAGGAAACATCCTAAAGTCCCAGGCTCACCCGTGGGCTGCACATGTGAGGATCTCATCCTAATAGCATACCAAAGACTTTGAAACTGAACTATGGGGTAGACTACTGCCCCGAACCTAGACTGACCACTGGGGAGTGCACACTCAGGATGGAGCCACATACCACCAGAAAGTCTTTGAAAACAGAACTCACAGTGGAACCCCAACCCACAGAAGGCTGGTCAAGCTTGTACTCTAGACCCAACTGAGTCTACTACAACAAATATCAACATTCCGTAAAGGATTTAAATTAAGAGCTACAGTCTTAGAATATTCTAAATGTCCAGGGTATAATTCAAAATTACTTGGCATATGAAGAACCATGAATATTTCAAGTCTTGTAGGAGAAGATAGCAGTATTGTTATCTTCTATCTTCTATCTTATAAATGACACAGATGTTGGAATTATTGAACAAAGACTTGAAAGCAACGATTATAATCATGTCCCAAGAGGTAAGGGTGAGGGCACCTGGGTGGCTCAGTCAGTTAAGCATCTGCCTTCGGCTCAGGTCATGATCCCAGGGTCCTAGGATCGAGTCTGCTTCTCCCTCTACCCTTACCCCTACTCGTGATTGCTCTCACTCTCTCTCTCGAAAATCTTTAAAAAAACTTTTTTAAAAAAAGAGGTAAGGGTGGGCGCCTGGGTGGCTCAGTTGGTTAAGCGACTGCCTTCGGCTCAGGTCATGATCCTGGAGTCCCGGGATCGAGTCCCGCATCGGACTCCCTGCCCAGCAGGGAGTCTGCTTCTCCCTCTGACCCTCTTCTCTCTCTCTCTCAAATAAATAAATAAAATCTTTAAAAAAAAAAAAAAAAAGAGGTAAGGGTGAATACTCTTGAAACAAATGGGAAGAATGAAAAATAGAAACAAATGAAAATTTTGGAAATTTAGAAACAGTAACAAAAAGTCACTGGATGGACTCAATAGGAGAATGGAGATGACAGAGGAAAGTCAATAACTTGAAGATAGATCAAGAGAAATTATCCAGTTTGACCCCAGAGAGAAAAAAGATTAAAACACAAACGAGCAAAAAATCTGGAAGCAGAGAAAAATGATGCATTACCTATAGGAGAACAGCAGTTTGAATAACTGTGGATTTCTCATTAGAAACCATGAACACCAGGGGCACCTGGGTGGCACAGTAGGCTGGGCAGCCAATTCTTGGTTTCGGCTCAGGTCATGATCTCAGGGTCCTAGGACTGAGTCCTGTGTTGGGCTCCACACTCAGTGAGGAGTCTGCTTCAGGATTCTCTCTCTCTCTGCCCCTCCCCCTGCTTGCTTGCTCTCTCTCTGAAATAAATAAATCTTTAATGAAAAAAAAAGAAAAGAGGGGCACCTGGGTGGCTCAGTCGTTAAGCATCTGCCTTAGGCTCGGGTCATGATTGCGGGGTCCTAGGATCGAGCCCCACATCGGGCTCTCTGCTCTGCAGGAGGCCTGCTTCTCCCTCTCCCACTCCCCCTGCTTGTGTTCCCTCTCTCGCTTTGTCTCTCTCTGTCAAATAAATAAATAAAATCTTTAAGAAAGAAACCATGAACACCAGAAAGAGGTGAAATAACATTTTTAGAGTACTGAAACTATTAACAC